TCTGCTTGCGGGTTGTTGCTCTTTAATAAATCACACAACCCCTTCCTCCCTACTTCCTATTTATTTTTTATGCTTGGGGCAGGGCGTTACAGGTTTTTTTTCATCAAGTCTTTCCTTTACATATCTGTAATTGAAACCTCTGCAGTCCAGCACACCGATTCCACCATTTCATTTTGAATGCAGCACAGGGAAGAGACCAGCCTACCTCTGCTTGGGGGTGGAGGGGTGTTGCAGGCTACATAAAGAACACATGCGTCTTAAATACGGTGCTGTGTTCTTGTAGGTCCACTGTTTGTAGGTCAGCAGACACTGAGATTAAGAATGTTAAATTTAACCTTCTCTGGTTTAATAGTGTGGAAGAAAATCATGTCTGTCCCTGAAAATTGTAGCAGCGAAGAGGTCTTCCCATCACAGGCAGATCACCTATACGCTAGCATGCTGTAGTTAGCAGGTGAGAACTGGCCAAACTGAATTGCTCTGTATTCAAATATGGTTGTTCAGCTTTCGTTTGGTTGAAAGCAGACCTTCATCTTGGCAAAGATACAGTTTGGCGCTACATAATTTGTTGATTTAGAGAAGGTATTAAATTGCAAGCTCGCTTTAGCAGTTAAAATCTCTCTATGTGGCTGTAATGGCCAAAGAGTAATGAGACTTAAAATTCTCAGAACTGTGCCCAAAACTGATTTGGGATTTGTCTTTCAACAGAGGCACAAAACTTTCTTCATGAGAGAGGAGAAGATGACAAAATCTGGCCTTGCATCAATGATGAACTGTTCAGTGAACTGTTTCTGAGCTGTAGCCTCAAGGAGAGCTCTTTGCTCCATGTGCATCCCCGTAGACACAGCCTATGGCACAGAGAAGAGCCTGTGGGGCTAACCTATGTCAGATATGATGTCACGAACTGTATCTGCTGCAGGTGAACAAGGGGTCCGTAGCCAGTTGCCGTGGTAACTGGTAGGCACCTGCAGCTCATTGACGCAGTACTGGATCTGTCCTTATCTGTGCATAGAGCATTCAGTGATGGGCATATGTAGCTGTGCTGGCAAAGCCTCATCAGGGTTCATTTTATGGAGGGCAAGCTTTTTCCCCCTTTCTGACAAGGCATTTTCACTCCTGTTGTGTTGAGCTCCATCTCCCATTTAATTTAGCTTGTGTTTGTAAATCTTGGGGATATCTTTTATTGTTCGTTTGAAACATTTCTTTCTGTTGGGTCACAGTCTGCAATGGATTTGCAGACTGGCCCAAATTTGCATGTCATTTCACTGCTGCCTGAGGTTCTGTTTTGGTAGCTTGCTGCTTGCAAGGAGAAAGAAAACATTATAGCAGCCCACGAAGTTGTAAAGTCATGGAAAGCTGTTTGCTAAAGTTGTAAAGATTGGATGATGCACAAGATTTCTAAAAGATCAGTTCTGCTCTGAAAGAGCAATTGTTCTTTGTATCATGTGCAGTGTATCAGGAAGGAGGTTCATTTGTGTGCGAGACCAGGTTCCTTAGAGTTCTGATCACTGCTCGTAGCTGCTAAAATGTTAAACTACAATGGGTTTGTAATCAGATCCTGTGTATCCGTTCCTTTTGTGGTATCTTGCTATGCACCCTGAAGCTTTGGTCTACAATGCAGATATTGCTTGAGTGAGGAATGAGCAGTGATTTTCAAGATTACGGAGATGGAGATGAATTCTTGGTTTGAGATTATATCTGTAACTATTGTGCACTATTAGTGAGACTAGTCTCCAAACCAGTAGTTTTAACACTCTTTGTGCTACTCAGAATTGAGATGTTTTGTTTCATGAAAGAGATGTGAGCAAGACAGAATGTAATTAACAATAAAACATTTTCCAGACTCCTGTAAGTTTTCTAGTAAATGTTTATAACTAAACATATCTTGTACTACACTCTTTATGTGACTGCCAAAGGGATTTTAAAGCGCTGAAAGTAAGAGGCGAGAGGGATAGTCAGGTTTTGTGTGCTCATATGAGGATGCCCAGTATGCTTTAATTGCTCCTTTTTTCCCCTCTGATGTTAATCATCAGCAATGCTAAAGCTAGATAGCTGGAAGCAGTTTTACTACTTTTCAGCAGTCTCTGGCCGTGTACCACAAGCGGGGCCTTCTGAAGCCAGGGAAAGCTTGCAATTGCAGTTCAGGTTTTGTTCACTGGGACATCACGCCTTTAACCAATCAAGACTGGTGAGCTAACAAGTGAGAGGGACCTCCTGTTGTCTTCAGTGTTTTTTTTTACTTCACAGCTTCCAGAAGGAATGATTACTACAGAAAAACCAGCACAGCACTTAAGGAAGTGCCTGTAGAGAGTAGAAATCAAACTGGTCACTAAACAAACCATAAGCTTTCAAAGGCTTCTGATGTTTTTCCCAGAAAAGACAAGGACATTTTTAGAAATGTGATAATAGGTATGATTTTTCTGATATGCTGATGTAGGAACATTCAATGTAAAGAGTTCAGGAATGAACTGAAGAAATGTCAGATTCACTTTTAAAACCAAAAGAAACATTTTGATAACCTAATAACCCATTCCTTGTGTGGTTCTGAGCTTACATTGCTTTGTAAACTTCAGCTGTCCAGAAGTATTCTCAAACTTGTGCATGTGTATTTGGATGATTTTAGGTCTAAAATTAAAACACATACCAAAAGAGATCTTGGAAATTGTGTATGGTTGTTAATAGATACCTACGCTGTCTTGCCAACTGGTAATTAAGTGGTTAATGTGAACCCGGTTTTTGCATACTTGCAGCTGGTATATTTTCGTGTGACATATGGTGAGTTATCAGTGTATAACTTTAAGTGTTCATCAGTAATATGTTCAGAGTAGGTAAGATGTCAATTCTTTGTAAAGTTTTGCAAAGATATATGTAAGTTCAAGACTGTCATCAACACTTTCAGCAAACACCACTTTTTTTGGTAAATTGTTTTATCAAAAGCCTGATTAATATAGCAAGTGGGCAGACAGATCAGCCCCACCGAGGGGTTGCTTGCAGCTGTTGGATCACTTTCTCCTTAAAGTCTGGCCAGTAGTGTCCAGGTTACTAGAAGTTGGATTTTGCTCCACTGAGGTCCGTGATTGCTTAATGCCCATTTCAGTGGGTATTTTCTAGGAGCAAAGGACAGGACTGCTGCTTTTATAGGCACAAATCTCTTTTTTTCTTGTTTATCGAAGTTTTGATGTATTGGCAGTTATATCATCATACGGATCAACAGTTACTTAGTAGGCAAATCTGAAACTTCTGCTATCTGTCTTGAAAACATACAAGCACAGGTACAGAACTATGCTACAGTTGGTGTGTTCAGCAGTTGTGGCCATATTCTCACACGTGCCCAGCATGACTTCAGAAGGTACATCGAGACAGTAAGCCTAAAGAATGGAAGTGGTACAAAAATTGCTATTTCTGTAGATATTACATACCTGATGGCTGTGTACAAAAAGTAGAAGATTCTGGTGTGAATACATGATGTACAAGGTTTTTGACAAAACAGAATAAGAGCAATGCATTGAGCATATATATATATATGATATTCAATATGCATGTAGTCAATGTATCTAAACATATTTAGTGTACATATACAATGAGTATAGATAATGTGATTTACCCTTTGTAGCATCTTTAAGTTTTGATGTTACTGGATTAGCTGTAAATTTTGCTAAAGATGTGCAAGAATATAACAATTTCTGTATGTCCTGGGTTTGCTGGATATTAAATCACTATCAGGAGAAGCTCAGAAGAGGAGAAATGGATGGAACTCTGAGGGGGACACAGTAGATTTGACTTTGGTCTTAATCTGGCTACTGGTTGATCTTGGACAATTGGCTTTCTCTCTCTTTTCCACCTGTGAAATGCAAATGATTACTAACTTAGGCCCCAAATAACAAAACAGTTTGAAATATCCTGATAGTAATAACAACTAATTCTTATCTAGAGTTGTTATTTAGTGAAAGATCTGTACAGGGTGCTGGTAACAATGAGGTATAATATAATTCTAGTTACTCCCAGATTGAAACCACACCCTCAACCATGATTTTGCTGTTCTGTTTCAGTATCTCACTGACTTGTTTTTAAGTCTTGAGACCCTTAAGACCCTTGGATACTTTCACTTCACTGAGGAAACAGGTTGGGAAGGGACAAGATCATTGTCTCTTTCCTCTTTTATATTCCCTTGTTCTTAAATGCCAGAGATCACAACCCCAGAAATGTAGATGATCATCAGTATTTTTGTGGGCAGTGCTCGTTACTAGCCATTTGGACTTTGACGAAATGACATATTTAAGAACAGTTACAGGCCACTAGACAATGCAGAGAAGATACAGAGAAGACAGCAGTCCTTCTTGGAGCACTGTAGCACCACGGAGTACAGCCTGGCACTCCCAGCTGATAAACTGCTGTCTTTCTCCTTGCACTCCCAGGAGAGATTTTTGGAAACGCCAGGGAAGAACCATGATCTCACAGTTTCTTATCTCCTGTCTCAAGAGAGCCTTCACAGGAGGCGATTGCCAGTGGCATTTCTTTGAGACAGTAGTTGCTGTCAACATTACTGCCATCTTAATTTGTAGATACAAACATGCTTCAGTAATTTCAAAAGCTTTGATTGTAGAGGAACCATTAAGAACCCTGGCTTACCTAATTTTTCATGCTTCCTTTTGTTTAACTGCAATAGCCCTGAGTAGGCCGTAGGAAAAGCAGGCACAAGAATCATGGATTTGCTGCAAGAGCAACTTCAGAAATGTGTTGGTATTAACAACAGCAGTATCTGTGTGAACGTGTTACATGGTATGAGGGGAGAATCCCAATTAAAATCTTGTTGCTAAACAAGTGACAAAGACCTTACAATCAGTATGAGACTCCAGGACAACTGTGGTTATATTAACAAATCAAATCTGGTCTGTCAAGTTTTTTATATGGAATAGTATACACATAGGAGGATTTTTTTTTTAACCAGTTGTAATTTTTCTAACTTTAATTTAGTTTGTTTTCTTTTTTTCTCCCCCCCCCAGCATTTACAAAATGCTGTCAAGAAACTGGTTTCCTTATGGTGGTGAAGTGTCAGCAAGAGAACACAGCACTGAAAGACTGTCTGGTTGGCTAGTAAGTCCCTTATGAGGTTTTGTTTTTTGATGGATGGCTTATACTAATGTAGAAATGAATAGAAATCTTAAATCTTCTCAAAAGGATTATGCAAGGTTAATGATTGTGATGTATTTTCTAAAAATTGCATCTTTGCTATATTAAAAAACATGCTGGCCAGGGTCCTACCTGACAGGATTTTATTTACTTCCTATGGCTGTACTCTCCTTGATTTAAGTGGTGACAGATGTAGATGTTCAGTCCAGACAACGTCTCACCCTGTATTCACTATGCTGAATTACACATGTGGGGATGGGGTGAGCAGTAGAAGCACCTTCATACCCTGTTACTGAGAAATGAGAAGTTTGTTTCAATTTTGCTTCTTGAACTGGTTTTTAAGATTTTACTTTGTCCTGAAGGTGTCCTGCCTGCTGTTGTGAACAGCAGTTACAGCAGCAGTGGGAAATTGTTAGATATTAGAGAGGTCAACTTGAAACCACAGTGGATTGTGAAATGTCTCTTTTGGAAGTCCTAATTTGTCCCCAGTGCTGTCAGGTTGAAGTGTTAGATTCTTGGAATTTCCCAGAATGAGGGTTGGGGATTTTTTGAGTTTGACTGGTTGATGAAAGGGGGTTGTTTTGTTTTCCGGTGGTTTGTTTTTTGTTAAACCAGAGATTAAGGTTAAATGACTTTGATCTACTGACAGTTATTCTCAAGTATTTGGGAACTGATGAAAAATCATGTGCAGCCAAGCAAGAGTTTGGGCTTTCCCTTTTTCTACCTTTCCTCTTCATGGCTTCCCTGTAGAAATTTGAAAAGGACTATGCCTTAAAACAGAGCATTATCATGAGCAAAGGCAGACCAACTCAGTATTAATTTGCAAAGATAACTTTAATGCTTACGTACTTAGTATTTTATTATGGAAGGCAGGCAAATTTTCTTTGGGTGTCAAAGGAAAATCAGTTATGAGTGTTATTCATGCAATATCTGTTTCATATTGCAAGATAAAAGACAGTATTATGTATTTGTCTTCTAGCTATTCTGATCCATTATTCTACGAAGAATGCAAAGCAGAATATCTGAAGCAAAGAGAAGAATACAGAGCAACTGGAATTAAGAAAAAAAGACAGACGCTTACTTCAAATGTGTAGTTAAAATGAACTTTTCAAATTTTGTATCTGACTTTGATTTGACTTAATTTAAACAGACGTAAATAATCTGTACCTACCCTTCTGTGTGAAATTTAACTGTTACACAAAATGAGATGAATGGAAAATAAAATAATCTCTAACCTTAAAAGTAAATTTTAAAATTTTCTGTAATTAAAGATATTAAAGCATGCTGTCACAGTTGGCAAGAGAAGTTACAAAGGTCTGTTCCTCTTTGTGGACTTGAGGTTTTCTTACCAATTTACAAATGGCCTTTTGGAATTTAAAGCTTGTATCTAGTTATCTGTGGCAGGCCACATAAAAACTTCAGGGTGAATAGTTGCAGTTGTATTAACTGATCACAAATTTGGTATATACTAAAAGTAGTCTAATTGTCATCTGAAGCTGAGGGTGTATGGAGATACTCGTGATGTTCTTACTAGAAGAGAAGGGTGGCAAATGCAGAAGGGAAGAGCTGCTTGGGCCAACTTGATTTATCTGCTTGATGAAAATGTTGAGTCATATGAGAGCCTGAATAGTACTTGTGCCTATACTGTGACTCATTTTTAAGTCTACATTATTAGAAGAGATGGCTGCCCCATGCCCGTGTGTGGCCCAGACTGACTGTTTCAACTCTAGAGGAAAAAGTCATTGGATCAAGACCTTTCCTGAGAATGGGAGAAACCATCCTGGAGGCAAAATCATTTGAGAGCAGTATCCTCCCCCACTTTCCTCTGTCAGAATAGGATTGTGTAAGCTTCCACATTTCAGGAGTGAGCAAGTGGCCACACTTGCAAAATTATTACAGGTGGAGGTGAGTAAATAACTAAACTAGTTGTGTAACATGCAGGTCACTTCTTGAAGAAACCAAGTGTAAGCGAGCCCCTATTGAAGAAGGGGCATGCCAAGGATCTTCTGTATACTGATACTTGAAGCTGTTTAATTATAGAACTCAAATGCATAAATGGCTTTGCTAGAGATAGTCTGTAAAACTTTCCATTACTATTTTGGAGTATCTTTTGAAGCATTTTGAAATAAAAATATTTACAAGGTAAGGCTGCATTTAGAAAACTTACATGGTATCTTGAATGCCCTGATTAAAAAAAAAAAAAAAAAGTAGTAGTATTTTTTACTTTTTCCATCAGAAGATGCAAAATTTTACTTATTTTAGTGCTGTTTCATCACAAAACCAGTACTGCACTAAGCAATTCAAGTAGGGAATTCAAATCAGCCTTAGAGACTTTGGTAGTATGTGCAGATTAGTCCTTGCCCTTTATTCTCTTTTACTGGAACAATCAGTAATAATGTTGCTCCTGCTGTTAGACAGCAGATTGGCCGGCTGACTAGGAAATGCTTGTGAAGGAAAAACTGAAAAGATGTGTAGTGTTCTGCCTTATTAGGCAAACTTAAGTGGCATTTAGCTCAAACTAACCACCTTAAAATAGCTTCTGTGGAATAGTTTCCTGTACATGTGCTTGCTTTTGGCTCCTCAGTTCAAGCATTTTGGAAAACAAAAATATTCCAGATCACTTAGTGGAAAATTAATGGTTATCTCTATGTATTTTAAGAAGAGGAAATTTAAGGTAGATGATGGGAGATTTTTTTTTTTAAGGACAGTGACAATGGTGTTATCCCACTATGAAAATCTGCTACTGTTTTCAGCCTATGGCAAGCAAGCCTGGGTGTAATTGTAGTCAAAAACATTTCCAAAGAGGATTTGGGTTGGAGTGAGCATTCTCTTAAGAGGCAAGTGGTGTGTGGTGCCAGCGGCACATGCCTGCACCAAGGGCTCATGAGAAGGCTCACTCAGCAGGTTCCCACCACAGCTGCTGAACGCAGACAGCAGCAACAGGTTTCTTCTTTTCTGGCTTCACAGAAAGTCTGTTCAGCAGGTGACAGGGAACCCCAGTGCTTTGACCAGTACTGCTGGGAAGGAATTAATGTCTGTAGTGGAACAAAGCCCAGTTGAACCTGCAGGTATTACTCCCCTGCATGTGGAGGATGTAACAACTCCTTTCTACACTGATGACCAAACTCTGCTGCCAAGCCTGACACTGCATGTACTGAATTATGCAGTTGGCCATTCATGTCTCTCCACCAACACTTGTGGGTGCAAGGAAGAACTGGGCTATTGCAGCTCCTCTGTTGTTTACCGTGGTGCATGCTTAGACCTGGGCTCTGCCCTTGGCTCTAGCGTCAACTTCCTGTGATACATCCATGACCTGAATGGGATGTTTCTTAGTTTTGAATTCTTGATTTTCACATGTTACACTTTCTTAATGTCTTACACAGTGTCCTGTATTTTAATTGAATTTACATTTTTTATGTAAAGTTTAAACAAAAGAAGGAGTACTATTAAGTGACAAACTCATAATAGTAAATTGCTTTTGATTTTCTCAGCTGCAACCTCTCCTGCCTACCCAGGTTAAGAGGAAGCAGCCCTAGATTCTAATCAATAGAGGAAAACATCAATAATATTGACAAAGCTGCACTTCTGCACTGAACTGGAAGCTTTTTTGCTACATGTTGAATAATTTTTAAAAAGTACATCTATTTTGTCAGAAGTTACTCATGAATGACGAGGGGGTGTAGCTCAGGAAGCCTAGCTGCCTTCCCCTCACAGCCCCTCCACCTCCCAGCAAAATACAACAGGTTAACTGCCTTGTACTTCCTGAGAGTAGCCAGCTCCAGGTGACTAAGGGAGCCAACAGCAGTGCAGACATGCAATGCTTCATCTCTCCATTTCAGTTTGAAATCAGTTCTGGAGGATTCTTACACATTACTATTCTGCATAGGAGTAGACAATTGGTGGAATTAATCTAGGTGTGTCTCCAGTGTTTGCAAGTTAGCCTTGCAAAAAAGTTGTGTAAGTGCAGAGGCAGGGACTAACTCGAGTAAGTCAGCCAAAGTCTGAAGCACAGCAACGCCACTGCCCCATCACAGTTAACATTTGTATAAGTGCCTGGTGTTCCCTAACACATGACCTTAAAAATTAAGGTGACATGACTGCTTACAGTTCCAGTTTTAACACTGTCTGTTACAACTAGAAGCTTTTGCAAGGTTGTTCTGCTTTCACAGTAGCCATAGAAGGAGCCTGTGCCCTGTGCTTACCTCCTTTAACAGGAATCATGTGCTCAGGCAGTTTAAAACCTTCCACTGTGTGGCACTATTGGTTGACATTGATGGATTAAAGTCTCAACTAGAAGACTAATTTGTCACCAAGCACAGTGCAGCAAGGCAGCTGTCAGTTTCCGCAGCACAGGGGTCTATCTCTGCCTCTTCACAGCAGTTGGGAAGAACTTGGCAACCACCCAGGACACACACATTTTTCACTAGAGACTACACTCTTTGAGTATATTAAAGCTTCTTCAAACTCCTGAGACAAGCCCCCTACAAATGCAAGATCTAAAAGGAAGGAGGAAATGGGCATCATATACTTAAAAGTTTGCCTTCATAGAGTAAAATGAAAACTCAGGAAAGCTGAGTGGCAGTTTGTAATGCTCAGGACTTTGAAAGAGGAGTGGAACTACCTACCATCGCAGTCTGAGACATCACCCAGTGATTAATCTGTAAGACAGAAACCCATTCTGCCTCATATTTAGTACAGCCATACTCCTCCTCAAGTAATTCCTGTCTTCTCTGTTTGCTACTCCAAAAATAGTCAAATATAGTTAAAAATGTAAGTGTCCCATCCAGTTAAAAATCAGTAACAGTAAGCATCTGGTTATTTCTTCCATGCTTTTTTCCCCCTAGATCAAACATCCATACTTAACCACCATGTCATCTTACTATTTAATTACTATATCTTGATGTTTGAATCACTTGTCTCTTCCATCTTAAAATACAATGAAATACATTCTGCTGGATACTTATCTGAGTTCACATCACATTTACTACAGAGAACAGATATTGTTTTAAATGATTCAACTGCACCTGAATTAAAATGAGGGTTTACTTTTAGTGCTCATAAGCACAGCTTGCTGTCCTGTGTTCATAGAATTGCAAGTAGCAAACCACTCCCCCTACAGAGGCAAAAGCCTGACCCCTAAAAAACACCCACCAACGCCTCTCCCGCCCCAAACCTCTTATGTCTTTTTGTATGCAAACTACACAAAGCAACAGGGAAACACCTCTGTGACCATGGTTCTTTGCAGGCCCTGTCTGAAGGTCAGAAGAAAACACAGGTGAGTTGGTCAGATACTGCAACTTTTCAGTCTTCCTTTAGCAGGCCACAGCATCATTAAAAATACAGGTGTCTGAGCACAGGAGTCTCAAGGTCTACTGCAGGTTGGTTTTGAAATAAAATTAAATCTGCTTTACGCCACCAGTGTAGTTCATATTTTACTTACATGGGCCTATGTTAAAAGTACTTGGAATGAGCATTGTCTTACTGTAACTCCACCACTGCTCTTGTCTCTTCTGTAAAATTTTGACAGCACATCACAGCTAATTTGGGAGTTTGCTTTCTTCAATATGGCTAGTTTGCTTAAGAGGAAAACTCATTAGTTGTAAACCCACAAAACTGGCAGGGAGACAATTACCAGATTTTATAAGTATTTAAAATAAAGCAAACAGTGGAAGTTTACATGAGTTATTAGAAGGCTAGTCCAGCTCTCCAAATACCTATTCATCAGCTTGACATACACTTAAATTCTTAACCTCTCCTGCCCCAAAAGCTGTCTGTTAAATGGAATTAGTGCTTTCTTAAATTGAACCTTGTCAAATCAGTAGGTCAGGTAAAGTTTTAAAATGTTCAAAGTTTGCATTCAAGTTAATTTTATTTTGGTGTTATTTAATGTACTTGAGCACTTTGGTCCTTTATGCAATTTTATGGTTTTATATAACTAAACTAATGTACATGTGTACACAAACCACCAGAGCCCGTTTACTACAGCTACTTCATGTAATTTGCTGTCACTGTGATGAAAAGATTTCACTTCTGAAAATGGAAAAAACACTGTAAAACACTGGTGGCATGGATTTAAATGACTTTTCCATCGAGTCAAAATTTGATTGTATGCTTCAGACCAACAGATGCTTCCCAAGCCAGCTTGCTCCCAAATGACTTCCAATCTGGGGACTTCCTTTACAAATGTTACAGCTTGGCCGCAGCAATAAGTGACTGGATTGGAAATGCTGCCTCCAGGCAGCTCTCCATCATCCTGCCCTCCCTTGCAGCAGTTCTGAAGTCCCTCTCAGCAAACATCACTGCTCCTTTCTCCAGGACAGGAAGCAGCACAGAAGATAAACCAAGAGTCAAAGGCAAAGCCTAGGAAGTCTCAGGCATTGCACATTGCAGCTTGATTCTAAGCTTCCCTGTCACACAAGACTGTGCAAGCTGACCAGGAGCCTCCTGTCACAAGCGGTCAAACTGCAGGAACATCCCCTAGTTTAAGGTAACTAAGTCCTTCAGGTTTCAACATCCACGTGAATACTTTCCCAGAATACACAGAAGCCATCTTCAGAGGCTGTTTGTTTTTTTCCTGAATGGAAGAGGATGAACCCCAAAATTTGTTTGTATTTGGAATGACATTTATGCACAATCAAGAAATCAAAAACGAGTAAAAAATTGTGCCAAATACCACAAGGAAATTTGTAAGTGAAACCAATATCAAACAAAAATAAATTTATTTAAAGTCTTACACAGTAGAATTCCTTCATTGCACAATTCGAAGTATTAATCATGTTGATATCTGTTGGATAATATATCACTTAAAAAAACCCTCCGTAACGTTGAGGTGGAGAACCCTAAAAAGTAAGCTACATTAGAACTACATACCATATAGCTTTTGCAGCCACATGAGAAATGTTTTCTGCTGCTTTGTTATTACACAGGTAGTTGGTTCTATCAGCTAAAGCCTAGTGACTTGGATTTGTTTTATGCATATTGGGTTTTGTTCTATTACTTTCCAAGAGATTGTACTCCCCTGAGTCAGCTGTGTTCATTGGTCAGAATAAATTCCAGCATCTGACACCATTTCCATTAATCACAGACAAGCCAGTATACGTGAGCAAGATAATAGAAAGATAAAAACAGTATCTGGTGAGTGGGAAACATTATTTATGTATGCTGTTCACTAATACAGTAGAAGGTATGTGGAAGGAATTTTTTCAACTTTGATAGACAAACTGAAAGAGAAGATGGGCATCATATGAAGTACTTACTCCACAGGGAAGAAAGTATCTGGAACAACACAGATCATGTAGCACCTTGGTAACACTTTTATAGCCCGTCATTACCAGGGCTGTGCTACAGTCATGGCTTCCCCATGTATTTGCAAGCAATTTTAAGATCATTTGCTACTAAGCAGCTGTGAAATTAATTTTTATTACACTGATCTTAAACTGGACCTGTGAAGTTGAATACTTCACCCAACCACCCACACATCTGTAAATAACATATTTAGTATTGTCTTCCCACCCACTACAAGTTAGGTATCAGGGATCTAAAATACAAAGCATTTTTCTTCAATGTACTGAGCAGTCTTATTTCACTTAACCCTGCTATATTAAGCCAGATAATGAAGCAGAGCAGTTAAAAAAAAAAAGCATAAATTGTCTAAAACCAGTTCTTGGCCTTAAAAGAAAACAGTGGTATTTGGACACACATAATCTATAAAGCAGGCAGTTGCAATTCAAATAGCTCTAGTTCTCAGTGGCATGCTAAAGATACCACAGAAATAATACTTATGTATATCAACAATGCTACAACACCTAGTCCGATTAAATTAAGGCTTTGTTTCTTTAATTAAAAAAGTGAGTAGCCTTCACCCCCACACAAAAAAGTTAAGGTTCTGTTGCTGTGCAAAGGTGGCACAACAAGGGCAACTGCACTGTGAACAGGATGATTCTGTGGCAGGCACCACTGTGTGCAGAATTAAGTCTCCTATAGTGTGAACTAAGGGAAACAAGCTGAACATCCAAGATTCACAGTGTTCAGCAGCACTACTTCTGATACCTTGTAATTCACAATAAGGCCCAAAATGGCATAATCTCAACAGGATAGCCTAGGAGTGATTTTTTTGCTTGCCACTATCTAATATAAATCAAGATTTTGATAAAAAGATCTTACCTCTCTTGGTTAAAAATTACATTAAAATGCATTTCTAATCCAGAGGAATCCAGAGGTTAATTGAAAGGAGGAAGGAAGAGATAATCCAATTCTTCATATGTCTTACTCTGAAAAAAACCACTGTCAAAACAATAAGCTCAGAGCTGGTACAACTTTTAAACACAGGATACCAGGTATTTTTTTGATAACATACAAATAGCAAACAAATACACAACTGGGTTATTCTGCTTTATTCCAAGAACTCACTTTTCAGTGTAATCTTTTGCAAATGTATGCCATTTGCAGTACAAGACTATCTAGGCCCCATGCTAGATTTCTTTATATTTACATTAATACCAGCACAGCTTTAACTTCAAGGAACTTACTCCTGACTTACAGCAGAGGAAGACTAGGCTTTCTGTTTTGGAACTAGAATTAAAAATAAAGAAACAACATTTCAGGCAATTTGTTTTCCCTCTTCAAGTTCAAGTGTTAAGGTGCCTATTCAGAACCACTGTAAAATGCCTCAGTTCATTCCAAAAATTGTTTAACTCTTGTGCAGACAGTTTTGATTACACTGATCCAGGTAATCTGCTGGACAGTTTAACAAAGTTTTATTTCTCATTTCCCAAAACACATTCTCATTAGGCTTTGGAGGACTTGGGAATACCCAGGAATTATCTTCCAGAGAGCTCTTTCCATAGGAATGGTGTTCCTGAAATGTTTTGCCATCAACAGGAATGGGTCTCTCATCTGTCCATGCTTGTAGAGTCACCCTTTCAGATGGGATTTTTACATCTCTCAGCAGAGGGGGAGACACAGCACTGCCGAATACTTTATCATTTTGTGAGAGTTTTTTATAGACTACCCCAGATGTCAAATTCAGCTTTGAAATGTTCGAGTCAACACATTGTACTGGTGCAGTAGAGGCAGCTGAAGAAAGAAGATAAAAAAAGATTTTAAAATTACATTATCTAATGCATTTTTCCTATACTCCAAATCTACTACAGTATCACAGGGATGTTAAACCCAGTGTTTTCAAGCTACAAATTTTCAGACCATATTTTATGTCAGTAACTACTTAAAAGTTACAAACTGAATGCACTAACCTCCTCAGTCTGATTTTGCAAGATGAACCAGAGATCCTGAAATCTCAATGTCTAAAATACACCCAACACCAAGGAAACCTCCCAGCTCCCACTTGGACACAGATAAAGTGATGAATCTTTTTGACAAGACTGGAATGAATGCTGAAACAGAGAGGATTCTCATGCACTTGGAGCAAACGACCAGATTCAGAACATGGCTTAAGCAGAGCATGCTTCTTCCTACTGCACCGATTGTTTCAATAAGTCATGTTCTAAGGCTGCCAAGAACCTGAATTCTCACTGTCTGTCAAGCAGTAAGAGGGAAATGCATGGTGTTCACAGGTTCTCTCTGCTCCACTATTCTCTGACTTCTGAAAGTAAAGCGACAGACCGCAATGTTCAGCCATCTGAAATTCCAGGGGAGTTTTAAACCATGCTAGGAAGGGGAGGATATTGAAACAGAACAGCAGCTACCTGGAATGAAAGAACCTTCAGTGCAGGTCTGAACAGATGGCCAAGTACAACCAGGTAATTTTTTTGTCATGAGAATTTACTTAACATGTAATGGGAGTAGATTAATGATTCCTGCAGTTAAAAGAAACTCACATCTTGCAGGTAGTTTTCTAGAACAGCTACAAGTCTTGAGTATGAAATATGATTTGTAACTTTAGTTCTTAAGGGACAAAAAGAGGAGCCAATATCTTGGACAAAGAATACAACTTCTGTTTGTCACTGTAAATTATAAGGTGATACCCAATTTGCAAACATCAGCCAAAAGCACTTTCCAGTAGTACAGGCATCACATCTGAAAGACATGCTAAGGCACTGGATTTGGCCTCTTTGTGCTGACAGGTGTAAAGAGCAATTTGAGGTCTACAGACCTTCAGAATGTCACAAAAATTGGAATCCACCAAAAATGGATTGAAAATGAAAAAAAAAACAACCAACCAAGCAAACCACAAAACAAAAGACATGAAAATGCCTCCACACCTAAATGACAGGTAAGTAGAAACCACGTGTTAGCTGACACTGCTAACATCACACACGGAGCAATGAATACATTGAGTTCTGCAAACTTTATGCACCTCTTACAGTGGCAACTAGTTTGTATACGGTAAAACAGCCAGTACTACAGGTATAGAAAGAGGAAATTTCAAGTCAAGTCTACCCATATTATGCCCAAGCCAAGATTTTTCTATAAATTTGAGCAGATTTATCTGCACTGCATTCATAAGTGTGGCTGACAAGCAAGGTAAACAAAAAATAAATACAATTTTCATTTCTACTGAACCTGTCGACTCTTACATACATCTGAAAAATTACTAAAAAAAAAAGCCTACAGAGCAAAAGGCAAAATTCCACTGTTTCCCAATCAATCAATAATGCCTTTTAGAGCTGTGGATATACAACTGCATTAGCAACTGCAGAATATCTGACTGTTCACCAAGTAGAAGGAAAAAAAAAATAAATCAGTAATTGTGTAGTGGCAAGACAGATAACTCCAAATTAAAAATAAGAACACAAAGACACTACATGATCACATCAAACCTTGACAGACTTAAGGATTAAAAACTCATTCAGTTTTCAGTTTCTCTGTTGAAGTTATTTGACAAATGCGTCTTAGAACTGTAGGAACACAGACTCACCTGCTAACAATATGACCAAGTCTACAAAATGTGTTGATAGTTTATCAGCCAAGTACCAGGGAGTGATCACTAATCACTGCTGGCCACAAAGGCAGGGGTTGACCTGGAGGTGAATCCTATCATTACCTCACCGAGCCAATCAAAACTACTTAGAAACAGAATATCTTGATCTTGTAATGGACAGGGACATCAGAGACTGTCACCAATATATTGTAACCAAGTTCACAGTCTTTCCCCAACATCTTCTGTATTCTGAACACAGTAAATACGACAACTGAAGTGAGCAGAAAAACAAAGCAAATAAATGCTGTGATAAGCGGTCAGACTGATAGTCTGACCCCACCAGCATCAGAACACTCCCTTGTAAAGCATTTGGCTCAAGACTAACATACATGTGAAACAGAAGAACCACCTGATGAACTCAGATGCTAATGCTCACAGAAATTACACATACTTCACATGGAAATTATTTTCCCCTTAATTGCAATTCCCCTTAGCAGCAGAAATCAGGCAGTTTTGCAGCCCCAGTACTTTGACATTCAAAAAATGTCATCTTGCATAGCATTTTGCTAGAAAAAGACAACTTTTCTGAAGGCCAGCAAAGAAATATGCAACCATAAGGGAATTTCAGTCTATTAAAGTCTAATTTTAAAACGTTGCTAAATACCTTATATATTCTATACTGGGAAATGAAGACTGCGTCTGCAAAAAGATTTTTTTCCCCCTAATACGAAGTAGTTGTGGTAAAAGGTCAACTACGAGTAAACTTAACACCTCAGCCTTGTGCACATAAGCAACACTTGACTGAGAAAAAAGCCACAAGGGGAACAGAATACAGTACTGAAGAAAAACACATCAGCAACACCTTTATGTGTGAAGTTGACCAGTACGAGACAGAAGCAAAAGCAGAAAATGGGTAGGCTGGAACCATAATACACTCTAGCTTATCAACTTCAATTGATGAGATTCTGATAAGATATGATAGCTGGTTTCTTTTTCAAATGGTACAGCTTGAATCAACGGTTTGTGTCTGTAAGGTCTGTTACTGCAAACACCAACTTGCCTTTTTTGGTCGCTGTTCGGTTTTTCAGTTTTCGTAGAACCTCAGCTTGCACATTAGTCACTAGATGCAAATTAGACATTTCCCTCTTCAGTTCCCAATATGCTTGTTGCAAACTTCCAAAACAAAAATTTTTAAAAAAGTTAAATAATTAAATAATTGCCACCTCTAAAGTATCCTCACGTTAATAAATCACTTTTGCCTGACACACACTGACAATGTTACTCAAGTACCACAATTCAAAATTAATTAAGCAGTACTGATAATTATCTGAAACTGATGGACCTTTGTATATTTTGACTCTTGCATATTACAATATATAATGTATTGAATATTAACATACTAGATGATACTAATAATTTCAAGTTCCCCAAATGGAAGGAAATACAAAGCATATTCTCCAATTCCATTATTTGAAACTAACCATCTTACTGTAAAATTAGTAATCTCCAGGGAATACTTTTTAAAAAATATATTAAATGGACATTAGACTGCAAACAAGGTAGAGTAATTGAATGGCTTCTGATAAATGACCACACACACCCCATTATATGTTATGATCATAGTACTGTTAACTGATCATAGTTTTAAATACTCAATCAAAATCAGCATTTGGGTCTCTACTCCATTCATTTCACTACAATGAAATTGGACTAGATACCCAAGATCCAAACTGAGCACCCACACACAGACCAGGCTAAAATATAAAATGTACTGTTTCATATTCATGTAATTTATGCTAATAAACTGCCTTATCAGACATTTTAAAAAAATAGTGACTCAATTCATTCTCTGGTAAGATAGCATAATATGCGAAATATATATAGCAACAGCAGCAGTGTTCCAACACTGAAGTTTCAGGTGATTATCTGGTAAGAAAAATCAAGAATTTAAAAAAAAAAAAAATAAAAAAAAATCAGAAAAGTCAGCATCACCATGTGTTTCTTGGTAAAATTTCAAGCAGAGGCTCAGTGAACACCACATTGATGTTGATTAATAATTAACTTAGTGTTCAAAGACATAAGGATGCAGTTACTTCAACTTAAACATTAAATCAATTTTTTTTTTTTTAAATGCTCAACATGCTATCAAAACACATTTATGGAGGACAAGTATCATGTATGAGAGTTTTCAGAATATTTCTTTCTCACTATATTCACCTAAGAGACATTTATTTGAAAACAGTTCAGTAACTCAAGCTAGTCTTGAGATGACTAAAAACTATTAAGCTATGTAACAACTCTGTTTTCAAACATGCATATATACAGATTTCTATCCCTCTAAAATAGCAATTTAGGATCACTCCTGCATGAAATTTCTCAGACATGAGTATGTTCAAAAGCAATTGGAGAAATAGTTATTATTCTGTTCTGCAAGTTAACGCTAGAAGAGTTTCCTTAAAATAAAAGAAACTGTATTCTATGCATAGAAATATTTCCCCAGAATACAAAAATTCAGATTCAAAACCTCTGTTAAAGAACAGGAAGCTCATAGTTTGACACATAATGTATTAGGTATGAGCAATCCTGATTGATAGAAAGTTAAAATTTTCAGAACTGATACTTCAAGAAGTTCAACTAAACCTGGGGCCTTTTTACTGCAGAATCCATTTGGCTCTTTGAACTTTTGAGATGACAATTTTAAAATTAAGTTGATGTGGCAACCAAACTTATTTGTGTGTTTTGGTCTCAAAAGTAAGATCAAAGAAACTTTATAACAGAACAGAATCATCTGATACTTAAATATCTTTACATATAGAAGTGGTTAAATATAAGAACAGCTCATTGCCACCAACCAGAAAGTATTCAGATAAACTTTATAACATGCACTTTAGCGCATTTAAAAGTGCCTTGCAAAGGGATCCGGGTACTAGAATTCCACTTAAATATTTTAAATGTTTCTGTGGATACTGACTTAGAGTCCCATTGCAAAGCCTCATTTTCAAGGAATTTGCAATTGAAAACCAAGGATTCCACGTGCTTTGAAGTTTATCCTATACTGCCTTCTAACATGCAGTATAAACCCTGAACATGCAATATAAACCTTGAAGCTTGTCTAAATCTACAGCCAAGTAGATTTGCAAACCAAGAATTTAAAGTCACATTTGCAAGCTGCTGACAAACGTGAAATAATTACTTCCCAAAAAGTTAACTAACTGCAAATGCCTCCACTTTCCATAAACAGCAGGATTGCTTGCTACAACAAATGTCTCACATAGGAGGTTTTTCAAGTGTTTTTCCACAGATTTTTGGATAGGCTTACATATTCAGTATACATTACACATTCATTATTTATGTCAGATTACAATAAACACTATACTGTATGTATGCTAATTCAGATGGTTGCCACCTAAATATCATTTTGTGGAATAAATCTGCTCTGCAAGATCAGAGAGACAACTGCTTTACCTTGAGATAACACCTTTTTTCAGGCTCCAGCAGAAACCATAAGAAGCTCCAGCAGAAACCACAAGCAAAAGTGTTAGCTAGCTAGCTATCCAGTCAAGGTGAAAGTTGAAAGTGTAATTTGTGTATAGTATTATTATTATTACACCAGAGAACATATGAGAACAAATATCCATGCTGTTCTCTTTCAGTGACTGATTTCTTCTCCCATCTCTTCCATAGCCAAGTAAGCAACAAGGTATTATGCTAAACAGTCTGTCATTATGAAGGACCACTCTTCCCTCTTGTGGAAAATCGTGTAAGTACACCCAGTTATGCCTATTTGTGTAAGAGGGGTGCAGTTGGTTTCTCCTTTCTGCAAGACAGAACATTTGGGACCTTCCATGCATTCATGAATTGTTTTTTTGTATAAAGAATTAAATGATGTATGTAGTTTCTAATACAGACACATACTCAAGACAGGGTAATACCGGTGTTTAGATCCTTAGATTTAGCACAATTATTTTCTGAATGGCTGCAAAATGAGAACAAATCCTTTCTGGTATGTTAGCATTTTTCTGGAAAATTGCTACTTCTTTTTGAATAGGTCACACAATAGCTCCTCGATATTTAAAAAAAAAAAATCTTTTAAAATGTCTTAGTGGAAATAATATTGCACTGTGCCAAGTAGGAATGTATGTTCCAACACTAAGGAAGAGATCTGAAGCTATCACCTATGCAAATAGAGGAACCTGGGATTAAACTTGGAAATTTACCTACTTCCTCCTCAAGTCAACTAATTATTAAAAAGCTGATTTTAAATACAGGATAATTTAACTTTCATTTTCTGTACAACAATCTGAAGATGTAAATGTTTTATCATCATCATCCTGGACTGCCAAAATAAAAGAGAAAAAAATTTAAATGATCTTGCTACATCAGCATACCTAGACTTGAAATTAAGATTAAGCAATTTGAAGTAACAAATTTGAACAGACTGCAAGAATATTTACTCGTTCAAATATCTGTCCCTTGGTTAACTAAAAATAAAATGTGAAAGCCACTTGATTTTCATACCTCTGGATGTCTTACCTTTGAACTAGGCCTCCGTTTAATGGATTTTCATCTTGAGCCTGGTCCTGCATAACAGAATGGGGGGAAGATAGAGAAGGAATGAACATACAATTTCAGACCTACCTGAAAATACTGCAGTGAAACTACAAGTTCGCTAATATTAAAATTCAGGAATAAGGTAGTCTTCATTTGTGCTGGCTGCAATGATTTTCAAAATGGACCTGAAGACTTGTACTACAAATTTCCACTTAACCAATGCTTAAATTACCTACTTGCATGAAAGCACTACTCAGCCACCACCACACTCCCTTTTTTCCTCACTCCTTTTTCCTTTTTTTTTTAAAAAAACAGCTGAGGTCTCAGAATTTTTAATTCTTTGAAAAGCTAAAAATTAAGAAAGGGTTTTGACTTCCATTAAAAAAAAAAAAATAAAATAAATCAGTCATCTCTCGTTCTTTCCCTCCGCCCCAGTATATAAAGACCTTTTAATTAAACTGTTTCAATATAGATTTACTTCCACAAGTTACATTTCTGACAGAACCTAATTTATCCATTGAGTTTGAAAGACTGCTTTAAATCATGCATACAGGCAGCCTCACTGAAGATAACAGGACTGTTTAACAAATCAAACATTTTTCTATTAGACCCTCACCTGTTCCCATTCATATCCCTTCTCTTCATGTTCCCTTCCTACTACCGTTTCAAGCAACTTGTCAATAAGGTACACACTGCATCACTACAACGCAAAACCCGAGTAAGAATGTCTAAAAATAGAAAAAAAAAGTATACTTGCCTAAGGTAGAAAGGATCTGAAAATGCTAACTATTAGAAGCAGTAATAATGAAGATATCAGCTGGGTTTGAAACCATACTGACTGGTCATTGCCCATTGATCTCATTTCCCTGTATTTCACCTGGCGATTTCCCCCTCCTGAAGACTTTCCCACCACCACCCATCAGAGATTCTTTTTCATAGTTAAAAGCCAAAAATCCAGTTGTGCTATATTACCCCACATTTTAACACTCGCACCTTTTTATTTCTTATATTAAGCAGTTAACAGGATCAAGAAATTGTATTAAAAAAGCTGTTCCTTATATTTGTTCTTTGCAATAAAAGCTGCTGACATAAGCATTAAACAGTGTCATGTCTAGTATTCCTTACAACTGCTATTTTAGCATGTTCTTTCTAGCAACATTCATTCTTACCATACAATCTGCACTCTAATTATTTATATAGCTGTTACTCTATTCTGTAGTTCTACCTGAAGACACTAGAACTGCAGACAAGTTACAGTATGCCTTCAGAATTTACAAGTTACCGAAAACACGTAAAAGAATTCCAGACACGTGAAAACAACAACCAACTGTAACATAGGAAAAAACACCAAAGCACCTTCCACACCTTCCAGGTAAGTGCTTTATCTCCACCTAGTGGAAAACATACAGATTAAACCCAAGACAAAACAATCGATGCACATAAGCCTGTCCATGTAAGCTTGGAGCATGGCATGACAGCAGCAGATCTGTAGAGACATTCAGTGCTGAGAACCCAACATCCCAACTATATATGCTTTGAGAGCAGCAGGGGAGAAGGACTTTACTTCAGGCTATCTCTAGTCTGGTCCCTGAATGCCCAGGAGTGGTTGGGGTGCATCTTCGTAGTTTCATCCAAAAGATATCCAGTTCCCACAATTCTGACTGCTCCATAATGCAAGGCACAGAAGGCAGTGGCGATAAGGAGATTTGCTTCAAAAGTACATTTCTGTAGTAATGTAAATGTGCCCATAAGAAAAAGAGCCAAAGAAACATTTCCAAATTAAACCAAATCCTGTTTGAAGGCAGAGTGATGGCCATGCAAGGATTCTATTTGTGAGTCTTACATACATCGAACATTGGCTCACTCAAATATTGTTTGTCTGGAGATTACATAGTCATAATTATTAATGACCATAAGAAACCTAAAATAGTTTGCCTCTTCAAACCATCACATTTAAATATTTAAAATTTATTATGTAACTTTAAAGTGACTGTAAAGCCCTAGAGACTGTAACTTTCATCATGTAAAGCAGTAAGCATGCACTAGACTTTTAAAGTTAATGCATTTTATCACTGTTAAAACTATTTCCTTTTTGAGATCCTAAGCACATCTACGTTACACAAGTCCCTCACAATAGACACTTGCCCCAGACTAAAGGAGGTATAGCAAGATTCTGGAAACTTTGTTACAAAAAGCCACTTTCCTGACAAGCTACATGCAACTACCCCAAAGAAAAGTGCTAGAGCTCCTTAAAGAAAGTTTGTGATATCTTTTAACATAAGCGTTCTATTGTTTCTTAAGAAAAAAACACACAAAAAAACCAACACAACAACAACCAACAAAAAACAAACCTAAAACCCAAGCAGGTTTTGCCCAAAATTTCTAGGTAGTCCAGCCCAAGCCACATACCAAAATAGGACACTTCAGTCTGATCGGCTACTTATAAGAAATTGTAAATCTTTATTTTCTGTTGTTATATGGGCAACGGCTGGGAAATCTCACCTATGTTAAGTGTACAATTTCCACGAAATAAGTCAGTCTATGAGAATATTTAAAGTTAATTTTACTGGGATGTTAATTTTTCATTCAATTATGTACCTTATATCTCTTTGTTAACCCTTTATTTTGCTTGAACAAGGGATTTAAAATAATGCTATACACACAGTCAAATCTATTTATAGAAAAATTTCTTAAAAATAAAAGGTACCTCCTGTTTAGATTTTTGTAACTCCTTCCTGAGACTGTTGCACTCTTGCTTGAGCTTTTCTAGCTCCTGTTCCAGACTCTGCACTTTCACATCACTGCTCAGCTTCTCTGTTTCCCAGCTGGACTGACTACAATTCAGATTCTTCATCACTGTAAGAAGACAAGCAAGACAATCAGATTTCAGTCTCAGTTCAAGACATGTAAGTCAATATGTAAGGTTTCACTTTAACCAGCCCATGCCCTACAAAAAAAATATCCTGTACATTCTGAAATAAACTGCAGTCTATGTCAACAGAGAAATAATAACACTGGTAAAGTTGTTGGCAGAGAATTAATCTATTTTCTGAACCTCAAGTATGGAGCTTTACTTTCCAGGAGTGCACTGGAGATTTTACAAAAAGAAAAAGGAAGTGACAGCATAAAAAAGCTCTGGAAGTAAAGATGATCTGCTAACACACACACAGGCTATATACACCCACTTGCATGCTTCTTACATGCTTTGAAAAGGTGAGCCTTCTCCCCCCTCAGATTTATATAATTATTTAATTTGCCCTAAGTTTTTCCCAAGTTTAATATCATGTAGTTCCAAAAAGAACTACACAAGATACAGTCACAAAAAGGGTAAAGTCTAGAAGTTACATAATTCTTTTCGTTAGACAGAACGAATTCACATGATGTCTATTAAGAAGCAACCTAAGATGACCCTAGCAACAAATCACTAGTATCATAGGAGGCTGGTTAGACAGGAAAAGAACACAACAGGAAGAAAACCTCCAAGTCAATTGCATGGTACACTCACTTCTAGATTTAACAAATTTCAACTAGCTTAAGCTACACTGAATTTTCTTAAACAAGGTACTCAGAGCCCACTTATGAATAAAATTGATTACTAAATAAGGCTTGAAATAACATTTTCAGAGTTCTCTTTATAAACTCTGCACTTCTTACCTCCTTAAACCATGATGTCCTCAACAATGATACTACAAGTACACGTGGTTTCTTCTCCTAGGCTTAAAAGCTCGTGCAACTGAAGTAGCGCATTACATGCTTGAGGTCCTCTTGGAAAGTAATCCAACTCAAGCACAGCAATACTTACAAGCACCTTTCAACTGACTGCATTTGTACAAAAATCTGAAGTCCAGTCCATCTCTAACTTAACATGGATAGTATTTTCTTTTTCTCTTTTCTTGTAACAGTACCTTAATAAAGATTATTTTTTCTTCCATAGTGTTTTATTTTACATATTTATGATCTACACAGCACTCTTTACAGTGGCAGTAACAGAAGCTGGATCTAAGGCTTTTGGAATTGCCAGGGTACACACTTTGTTACTCTTTCCATCAGGCTCTCTACAACCAGCATCTTTCTACCTCTCCTCACCCATCAGCCCTGTAAACAGCTGTTGTTGACTGCAGCTATTGCTATACAACATCCTCCTGTACCTGTCATGTGCCAGCAGTGAAATAAAGCAATATACCGGATCATCTGCACGTACCAGGGAAGTGGTATCAACTGGACAGTATTTGATACTTGAATAAGTATGCCCCCCACTTCACTCTGAGGAAGAGGTGGTGGAGTCCAGAGATGCATATGACTAGCCTTTAAACTGTTAGGTTGTGCACATTTCTCAAATTATTAAATAAGCTTCAGTGGAAGAACATGACAGCCTCAGATCTTTACCAGGGAGCCCTCGTCTATGATAACAGAACAACCCTGTCACCATTTACAGGAATGAACACATTTACAGGCTCAAGGTACCCCACTGCAGTACACTCTTGTCTTACCTAGCCACTATATAGGGTTAAATCTCTTCATGCCCTGAGATCATAATATAACCACTAAGACTAATCAACATACATTAAGATGAAGTAACCAAATGCATACCTTGTTGAGTTTCCACTTCAGTTTTTAGTTGTAACAGCTCTACTTCTTTAGACTGCAACTGTTCATTCAAAGTTTTCAAGGATTCCTCACTTTCTTTTATCTATTTTTGAGAAAGGGGAAGGAAGGAAGCCATTTGTAAAGCTTTTTTTCTATAATAACTGACAATTCAACTTATTTAAGAACAAAAAAACTATTGCTTTTATTTTTATTTTTTTTTTTTAGCATTAGCCTAGCCCAGTAATAAAATTGAGATACTTAAAAATGTGATTCCTCCATAAAGTATCGTCATGTACTTTAAAAACCTAAAGGAGTGATAAAACAAATACCATGGACTTTCATCAAATATAATTAATTTTACAGTAAACATTTACTAACTATGCATTATGTATAAAATGCATTTGAGTCTCTACTTAAAAAGGCATACCATTTTATCCAGTTTGCTTTTCAGATTATCTCGGTCAATGCAGGCCTCTCGATAGGCCTGGTATGCCTTATTTACTTGTTCACGTCCAACTGAACTGCATTCCTCTTCCAGTCGGGAGCCAAGCAGCTAAAAGTTTAAACAGACATGAGAAATAAGAAGTTTCGGATGTTACAATGAGAACTCCAAAACTAAAAGTGAAACAGTACAGCCTGCAACATGAAATTAACAGCATTTTTCTTTAGGTTAGAAAATAACCAAACATATCAATATGGACCAAAATTTTTTACTAAAGTGCAACAAAGGCTGTCTACAAATTCTACAGTCTCTAACCGTTCTTAATGCTTACTAGTTTATTGCTATGAGTATTTAAAAACCATCCACAAGTTATGATTACTCACAATGACAACCCCACAATCATATTTTTTCCAGGCTCTGAAGATGTACGAACTGCTTTTTGGAAAAAGTTTTAAGCATATAAAGACACAGCATATTGAAAATTAAGAGGAAAATGAACATCATTTTTTTAAATGAATCATTTAAACAATTTTTTTTCCAGTGTATTTATGTGAGAAAAGCCAAAGCAGAATTATTTTACAAATAATTATTAACTTCCAGGTCACCACTATCTCCCTGCCTGCTATAGATAAGCAACGAGGAATAAGCACTGCCAACTAGACTGTCAAAAAGAGGGGAGCAGAGAAAATATATTCAGTATTTTTACAATAACAAGACAGCAAGAAAATAAGTCTTACATCAAACTATATCTGTCTAGAAAGTTCTTGTTTTGACTGTCTTACATTATTCTTTTCATTCTGTTTATTCTGCCCACTTCAAATTGTTGAGGCATTTAAACACATTCAATGTACCTAATGCAGATATGTGACAGATTTATAAGAGCCATATAAAAATTTTTTTTTAAAAATCAAAGAGATGACAGTTATGTATATACCTTGAATATCTCCTCTTTTAGGTGTTCGCTTGAAAGAAAGTATGAGAAAGCCAGTCAAAGATAGGAAGCTTCTGCCCTTTGCTTTCTGTATTGACCCTCAAAGTATGTGTACTACTCATGTTAGGTTTTGTACTTTACATTTTCCTCCTTAAAATAAAGCCATTCAGATAAGACATAAGCCTTACCAAACTTTTGGAAAGCTTCCATACACTCTGAAATTTAAAATTCAAAAGGGGTAACTCCCATTATCATACAGGTATACTAGCCATTAACAAAGACTGAAAATGCATTCTATTACTTAACAGTTTAGGCCTTCTCAATGCCCCTCTCTCAGAAACATTTTTGTGGTATTTGCAAACTAAAACAGAAGTTTTCTCTACTGAAAACAAAGTATCATCTTCAAGACAATTAAGCTGAACCAGGCCAAACCAAAAGACACAAGACTAAACAGGATTGTCAAGGTCAAGTCCTGGTTTTTGTGATTTTTCAGTAACCACATAAAAGATGTTACACTCAGCATGGCTCAGAATATTCAGTCTAGAGCTCTATTCCTATTCCCCCCCCCGGCCCTTATATAAAGAAAGTGCTGAGAAAGTTTTGCCTTTTGACAGAAAGTCAACCCTGTCAAACCAGTCACCAAGAATTCCCAAATAAGTGTTTCAAAATTGTATTGAGTGTGACTCAAGTTCTTCATTCCAATGCCACAAAATAATATATACTTTGTAAGCTTTTAAGTCAATAGCACATACTTAGGACTAAGTCCTAATAAATATCTCATCTCTAACTCTGGAATCTACCTTTCCATCTTATATTAGTAAGGAAAGCAATCTGTCAAAGTCAAAACCTTCTGCAGTACAAAGATACTCACTACTGAATAATGGATATACATTTAATGATAGCATTCTTTACTTGGGGTAGAAAAGCCAACACACCATGGTAAACTTTTAGCTTTCATGAACTTGACTAGACTAAGGCCATGAGAAACTGCATATAAAACAAACTCCAGATTCCTTTATGTTTTAGAATTATTACATCAAAAAAATAGCCAGCCAACACCTTTATGTTGAGCATTGCAACTTTGTATTTCATGTTTGAGACTGCTAGATATTCTTAACAACCAATTTTTCCTTATTTCAGTATACTGAACCCAAGAGATTCTTTGATAAAGAGGCAGATGAAATACAGTAACGATCCAATGCAACCACATGTCTTTCTCAATCAAAGCTAGTGTCTTTACAGGGCATTACTGCATTGCATCACACACATGCCCAGTATGAATAAAAAATTCCAGTATGATGTAACTAGGCTACCAGAGGAACAAATTGTGTTTCACTTAAAACAATTTACCAGAACTTTTAAACTTGGAAATTATTTTAAGTACATTTTTAAAATACTTAACCATCTGTTCCATCATCCAGCCCGGAGCAAAGAAGTAGCTGCTACCAGAAGTTGGTAAATTGACTTTTTTCTTACCTTCTCTTCTAGAATTCTCACTCTTTTTTTTAAGAAGGAGTTCTCCTTCTCTGTCTCCTTTAGTCGTTTCTTGATATCTTCATATGCAGTGACAAGTGCGAAGTGTGAGGCAACTGACTCGTCTCCATTGTAAGATGAAACAGGAATCTCCCCGTCTCTCTTATGAAGGTTGTCTGCTTTTTCATGGTTCAAAATACAGATGTCATCCTCTACCAACTCCTCCATGACAGCTGTTAAAAAGACAGAGATGAGTTCAAAATTTTCACAAAGAAATTCACCAAGACTCTCAAGTCTGAAAACCTTCCAAAATAATACTGCAAGACTCAATAATTATGAAATATCTTAATCTTGCAGAAGGATCTTGAAATTCATTTTACATTGAAAATACACTGGTTAAAAAAGAAGCATCTTTCACTATTACTTGATAAAAGCATTTTGAGTACACACCAGATTCATGAACCCCCAAATTAATTTTTAAGGCTTAACACCATCCTAGAATTTGGCTAGTACCAGATATGTGATTAGAGTTTTAGAGTTTTACTGCTCAGTGCTGGCTTGCAAAAAGAGATTATAGTTGCAGAAATCATCTACTGTGGTTCCTGAGCACAAGTGCCAAATTTCCTTAATTCCTAAATGCAAATATTTATACTTTTTCCAGATTTTAAAATAGAATCTTAAGGTACACCTGCATTAGTCCCTAAAGAGGCTGCAAGAGTAGCTATTCACAGTATAAGTGACCAGAGTAGCTGGTCACAGCAGAAAACATCCTGCTGAACAAGTTACAGTAATTCTGGACTACGAATACAGTGAGAATGAAAACATACTTCAGTAACATGATTCACCTCAACACCCATGGAGAAAACTGACAATAATATGACCCTAAGAAAAGCATCACCCTGAAATACTAGGTAAATCCACCTGAATGACAAATGCAAAGTAACTGTTAGATTGAGTTTTAGGCACAGCAAAGCACTCAATAAGAAAATACCACCTTAAAAAAAAAATCCTTTTACTTCCTTGAACTCCAGGTCTTAAGAAAAAAGCCCCAAAAGGATTTTCTTTAATGTTACTAGTTATCAAGAACAAGTTCATGGATTTGATTTAGAAACAAACAAATCAAGCCACTCACCCCAAACAAAAACTAACTGAAGACACAGCTCATTCTTACTTAGTTATGAAAATCGAGATTCCTTGCATTTATATGCAATACTAACAAATGCTATACAGTACCATGGTAACATTTCTCCTTCCCCTTAAACTACTGATGTTGCTTCTAACAGAAGCAGGTTTTTATTTTTATCTTCTCCCCTTGAACAAATCCTTAGGTTCCTGAGAGTAGCTAATGAATCAACAGAAATGCTGGAATGAAAGAAATGAGCACAATGAAGACAGTTTGTATTGTAGGAGAGTTATTTCAACAGAAGACTGACCTGACCAGCAGAACTTTGCAGGAAAGGCAGGCATCAGTAGGGAAAAATCCCTCAGCGACAATCGTTGCCTTTACTGGGTATTTGTTATTTATATTTAAACTAGACTTCCACTTGTTTTAGATACTAGGAGGTAAAGGGATCAACTGCCCTGGAGCTTATCTGTGTGGTCAAATTTCTCTCACTGTGCTAACAATGGAAAACTTACATGGACAGCAGCATTATGAAGAGCTGTAGTACAGCTATAGCTGAACAATGGTCCTGTTATCACATTTGTCTCCATTTGCTCCAAGCCAGTTAGACAACATGATAAAAAGCTGTGACAGCTTGTTTATACTAACTAGACAGTAGTGGAATTGCAACAGTGAAAAAAGACAAGAAAACTACAAACCAAAACTGAAATCCTTTCAATGGTTATCTTCAGGAGGCGAACAGATGCCTTGCATGCTGTTTGATGTATTCTAACAAAACAGGTAGCCTGGGCTTCCTCTGCCTAGTGCTCTGCCTCATAATTAAGTAGAAGGAGCCTTGCAAAAAAAAAATAAGGTTTGCTTACTTTTCACTCTAAAAATAATATCACTTCATGCACAAGGTGACCTTGACCAAAAGCACTACATCAAACTCCATTAACTGACTGAAGGAATTGCTCATTTTGTCTTCTACGATGAGCATGACATACTAGCTTTTCCTCCCTCATTTTACCAAGGGCCCTGCAAGTCTTGTCACCCATGTCATCGAATTCCAAGAGCTTGCCTTCTCAAGGCAACACATCTCCTTTTCTCTGAACACTAGACTCAAGTGTCATTAACGAAGTGTCACAGCTTATCATTATCTCTTGAAGAAAGCAGCAGATGGTGTGACCTTGTACATAAAATATATCTTTATCCCCACGCTTTCCTATAGCTCCTAAACTTGAACAGCATACAATTTATTATACATATCAGTTCCACCAAGAGATGGCAATAAGGGAAAACAGTAGACAACATCAGAACACAAGACTATTTATTTATTCTGTATTTTGCTAACTAAAACTTATTGTCGTTATGAGCTTCCAAAAGAGCAAGACATTCCAAATGAGACTCAGCATACACAACTACTATTTTATAAATTCAGGCACACACTTAACCTAGACCTACAAAGACGACTAGTTACACTAGCATTTTTTTTTTTTTTACTTAAAAGATCTCATTTCATTTACAGGATTATTCAGCTCTGGTTTTCTGATGCTGCTCTAAGCCTGCACTGGATGCTATTTAGAAGATAAGCATGTAATTCCGCATCATTCAAAGCAGCTTGTAATACACATTTTACTGAATTTCTACACACAAGGTAACTGTTTCAGAAAGATCTGATACACACATTTGTGACTAATCTTACTGGATACTAAGTGACAACAAACTGCCTACAAAACAGAAGTCTACTCCTGAGAGACAGGTGCCTAAATAGGACACCTTCTTCCCAGCTCATTTCTTTAAAAGACAGATCTGATGATGTAACATTTTGGAGGGGAAGTGGCAACACACCTTACACAAGCTTAAATGAAGTAAGCAGGATATTCAGAAGGAATTGTGTGATATTGAAACTTTTTGCTTCAATTATTAAAAAATAAATAAAATTATCATGACACATGCTTCTCTGTACTGGAAGCTCAACAGCCTGTCAAGGGAAAAAAATCACCACAATATTCATAATGGCATATATATATTTTTTTCAATCTTTCAATATCTCTATCAACATGAAGCATTAATAATATCCACAAATCATATTACACTGCCACAACCACAAAAAAGTGCAGTTGTTTCAACTTTACAAAAAACACAATTCAAATCACCATTGTCATTGTGTCCAACAACACGGAAACAAACCCAGGACTTCACACATCCCTTTCAAATAAATGAACAGATTTGCGTTAAACTGAAATTTAAATGCCACTGAACATCAGTTTACTCAAATTTAGAGCATCACATGCAGGAAATATAATAAGATGTTAAAATTAAGACTAATGTAAATATAAGATCACTTTAAAAAGAAAGCCATAATGGAGACAAAAAAAAAAAAAAGCTGTTGGTATTTTGAGTTTTCCCCCTACCTCATAAAGGACATTTCTCCTTTTTGAAAGGAGCACTACTCTTGAAACTGAAAGCACCTTTTCTTCACAAAATAAACAAGCCACTATGATTTCCAAGAGATTTCATAATGGTATTGTTAGAATAAAATCCGTAAAGACTTTTCCTTTCAGACTAAGTAGGTCCTCATTTTCTCTTATAATAATTATTCTACAAGACTTCACAGTGAAATTTTAAAAAACTGCAAAAAAATGCAACAAGTTTATAGAAAAGGGGAAAAAAATAAGAAAAAATGCATTTATCAAATCTCAGGTATGAGTTGATACAAAATAATTTTAACTGTTAACTCTACTAGTAAACATCAGTCTGTTGCCTGTGCTTACTAAATACTCCTTTTATTGCATATTTTAAAAAGTTTCAAATCTCACAGTCTACAGAACAATCTGACAGACATTTCCTAAGGAAAAAAGCTCTATGACTTCTGCATTGGGTAAGTGCATGATGACTCAAAAGCAAGTTATAATATATGCACCACTAACTGCAGTATAAATTAGATAAGCACGAAGAAAAAGTCACATTAGAAAAAATTAGAGCAGCATTGCTAAATATATCTAAATAAATCAACAGGACCTAAAAAAGAAAACACACACACACCCCCCAAACAGTTTCTTTCTATGCTGCAAAAAACTTTCTGAAGTATTTCCAAAGAAAAATATAAATGCAAAGTTACTTCTCCAGCTAAGACCACATTAAAAGGACAATAAAAGAGATAAGCTCATACAAGAATAAAACCTGGCTGTTAAACAGTATAAAATCAGCAGTTCTATAAAGGTCATGGTGAAATGCACAGTTCATCCAGCTCTTTGTTTTGCTGTCAGGAAAAAGACAAAACAAGAGGAAGTATCCTCACAAATACTTCTTGCTCCAGAAGAAGCTCCTTCATGATAGTAAAGCAACAGACAGAAACCCTTAGAAGACAAAACCTTACAAAATGGGGCTGTGTCTGTAAGAAAACTACAGCTACAGCTGTAGCCTTTAATTTCACTCTTTAAGGACAGGCATCAAAATTTAGCTTCTTCATCTTATCCAGCTATGATACTACATCATTTTAAAAAAATATTAACTGCAAGCAACAATCAAAGTGCTTTCTGACAGAATAATGCATTAGATCATTCCACACGTTATGACCCCTCAAATCTGGCAGTCCCAGACAGGCTTCCAGGATGGCTCACAGTGTCCAACCACAGACCTCTGCCTGTGTTTTATTCTGTTTGGCTTTCCCAGTTCAAAGCTATGCTTGTATGCACTGCTGCAAATGCCCCATAGCTGTCACTCTGAATCACCTGAGTGAATTTTGATCTCTCTGGAGTTGCAATTCATGACATAATCTGTACTAGAGTAACCAGCTGAAGTGAAAGATTTCCCACTAAAATATTTAAAGTAATATACAGACAGGTTCATGTCTATGGACACAGCTTATGTCCATCTTAGCCTACATAAAGCAAGCTTTGAAAACCCACTTACCACACATCCCATCCCAAGAAAGGTCTCCCTAATACTTTTGTCTGCGACAAAGAAAAATGTTACATGTATGCTTTTTTATTTTTAGAATGATCTACACATGAAACAGTCAGTTTAAAAGGTCTTTAATCTTTACTTCCAGAAATAAATACAGCAAATGAATACCAGTACTAATTTATATTAAATAATTGATGTTTTTAAAAAAACTCAAACC